AACACCTACCCCGGTCCAACCCATTTGGTCCAAACCCAAAGTCCTGAACCAGTCCAGGCCTAAACCAGAAGCCCAATCCATTAACCCAAAAAACCCTAAGCCCAACTTATCAAGGGCTCAGCCCAACTTTAGGCCTAGATCCAAAAGCCTAAAACCCTTAGCCTCGACCCGACTGTTTGAGTTGGTTGACCTGCAGACCCAGACCCTTTCTAGGTTTGTTCTCTCCGCTCAAATTGTCCAGAAAACCGAATCACTCGAAAAAGCTTAATTAAGAAAGTTACCTCAAGATTTATTCCCAATCCTGCAATCAATCCTTGTGATGGTGGTCGGAATGGACAGGCGATAGTGGTGCGTGGCTTTAATCGGCTTTTAAGTGGCTTAACTTGCAGAATTTAAGCTTGAAAGTTTTGGCAACGGTGAATGGCAAGCAAACCAAAAACAATAACATTGACAAGGTTAGAAAACAAACTTTCAAAAATTGATTGAAAGCTTCTCACTTACACCCTCAATCACATATTATATAGCCAAAATTTCAAAATAATTGTTTCTAATTTGATCGAATTTGATAGGTATAGCCGCGGAATTCGAAAGTTAAAGATAAACTGAAATTTAAATTTTCTAATTATTACAATTTAGCCCCCCAAATTTCTTAGTTAGTTAAGTGTCGTCTAGTCCCTAACAACTCACTATTTCCGTTCAAACCCTAGAAAGTTCAAATCTATTCAATTGAGCCCTCAAATTTCTAATTAAACCCCTTAACTTTCTGTTTGTTTTAATTAAACCCTCAAACTTCTAAATATTTTAATTAACCCCAAAAATTTGGGGTATTACACCCTGCTTAACTTTCATATAAATGAAATAAAGTTTTTTTTTCCAAGGTAATAACTTAAAATTATAAAATTTTAGATTGTCAGGACTTTAATTAATTTTTATATATAAAATAAAAATATACCCTATTATATACCAATGAAAATCACATAAAAATTGAAAACAGATTATAATTTATTTGGTAAACAAATTATTCTTTTCCTTTTTGAAAGGGGAATGGAAATACAAAAAGCAAAGAGTTTTTTTCCCTCTCGGAGTGGCAAGTTGACGTGCTTGTAATACTTGTAGGATCATTAGATATATAATTTTAATTATGTAAAAAGTTGTTAATAAATAGGATAAATAATATTTCACATTAAAACAATTTAAATCTTAGCATTATATTCCTTACACGTATAAAAATGATATATTCTCTATACAAATATTAAATTTATAACACTTGCAATTTTGTTAACATTTCAGTGAAATATTTTACTTTTAAAGTATATAAATATATTTTTAGATATAAATATTTTAAGTAAATGGATAAACAAAATCTTTTGGTCCAAAAAAGATCTCGATAAAATTTAAAGATGAAAATTTTCAATTGACAACTCGGCTCTGGAAATCGAAATTGACATAACTCCATTAAGACTCCGCTAAAAGCACATTATGCTCAACTTCAACAATTCATAATCATAATTGATTACTTGAATGTTTGCAAGAAAGTCCATCCATCCTTCGAACCACTATCCCAGTCAGGGATGGAAACAAGTCAGGTTAAGAACTAAATAAACCAAGTATGCTTCATAAATCATAGGTTTAATTTGACTTTTGACCTATGACAAGCTAATAAACTAGGCTTGGCCTAATTTGTTTACCCAATTGGCAATGCCTAACATGACGTATTAGTTAACTGTGTTAAAATAATTGAACTTAAAAAGGTCTTAAATAAATCAATAAGGTAAAAGCCTACTAACTCCTTATATAGGTATCAACCAATATAAGTTTATAAAATTTGTCTTCTATTAAATTTCATAACAAATTATCAAATATTATATATTGTATTATTTGTTATGCATTATATTATACAAACATACATACATATATAGTACATGCAACCCGCAAAATTGACGCACTAAGCCAAAATTTAACAAGTCAAGCATGTTTAATAAATAAGTCATTTTTTAGGGTCAAGTCTAGTTTGATTAGTTAAATAAATCAAGCCAACCTAGTTTTAACTAAGTTAGGCCATAGCTGGTTTGCAGGTGGCTTGAGTTATTTTTGCATCTATTCCAGTAACCAACAATTCCAGTTAAATTTGGCCTTTCAAGCATTGGGTTGGGTTTTCTTACGAGTATCCTAGTAGTCAATGCTGACTATTAATTACTGAAGTGTAATATAGTGTGCTTTAAGTAAAGTTCTGATGAAGTTTATTATGACTGTCAATTTTTAATGCCAAATTTATTACGATTTTCTTCAAATTAAAAAGTCATATTTATCAATTATTTCCGAGCATTTATGTTTGAAAAGACATATATACCTTTTATAAGTAAAAATTTTAGTAAATATTTAATCAAAATATTAATAGGAAGAGGAAGTATTATAAATTTAATATTTATAAAAAAAATGTCTCTTTTATATGTTATACAAGGTGTATGTGCTAAAATACAATTTTTTAGGGGATAAAATACTATTTATCTTAATAAAAATTTTTAATTATCATTTTCACCAACTTTATAAGGCAAGGGTGTCATGAATATTTTTATCAATTAATTTTTTTGATACAAATATTTTATTTATATTATATCACGTTAGTTCAAAATACAAAAATGAGCTATGAGGATATTATGTTTTAGAGGCTCCTAAAAATAAATATTTAAGTAACTCTGAGCTCGTGCCTCGGTGGATATTTTCAAAAGATTAAACAGGTACATTGGCCCTCAACCAGAGGGCGACTTATGAGCGTCAAAGTGAAGGAGCTCAAGAGAAAAAGAAAGAACAGGGAAAATTGCAGACTTGGCTTCCACAGACATTGACAGAAGCTAATTAATTTTTATTTTTATTTGTATTTTATTTTGAGGTGAGGGTAGGTTGGGAGGTGGGGTTTGTAATTTGTCCTATAATCAAGGTCAGATTTGATGGAATTTAAAGCAGGAATAGGACGGACTAGTACCGAAGAAAACTAGTCCAATTTTGACAGGTTATAGTTAATTATTACTTGAGAAAGAGAGAGAGAGAGAGAGAGAGAGAGAGGAAGAATTGTCTTACCATGTATTTTTTAGTTTCTTTTATTTATATGTAATTATAGGAAAGTTCAAGGTTTTCATTGAAAGTCAGCTCTATGTATAAGATTAGGTAGATTAATCTTCCTTTTTTATTAAAAAAAGAAGGAATTGGTCCCATTTTTCCAAATTCCAAGCTTCCCAATATTCAAACGAAGAGAAAAAATTAAAAAGGAAAAGTAAGGGAAGAAAATGAAAAAGCTCAGCGAAGGGAAATTGGGTAGGTTTTAGCAGCAGGCAGTACGTACAAAGCATTGATAGACCCTGGAGTTCAAAGCAATAAACTATGGTAATGTTCATCGAATAGAATAAGACGACAAGAGGTCTGTTTGTTTGAGATGGGTTCCTAGTAAATCTAGCTTAGAGTCCACACCTCCGCACAATGAAAGAACAAAAAAAACAAGCAAAGCTGCCAAGTCAGGTCTAGTTTTGATTTGGTATTGTCCGAAGTTGCTGGGCTTCTCACATATACCTGCTAGTGCGACGTTCAAAATCGACTCAAATTAATTGGACCAATTTAACTCAAATCAAACTGATTAAAATTGAAAGAAATCAATTTAATTTAGTATTTGAAATATTAAAATTGCTCAGTTCGTTTTGATTTAATTGCCAATTTTTTAAAAAAATAACTGAACCAAATTGAGCTAATTATATGTATAATTTTATTATATTTAATATATATAATACATATCAAATAATATAATCTATTTAATACATATAATTAAAAATAAAAACAAAACTCTATCTAAATTCTCATTCTTAAATGCTGCACTAAGAGATTTTTAATTATATTTAGAATTTTTAATATTAAAAGTCATTAATATTGTAAGAAAGTAGAATAATTTTGTAGTGTCTTCAATAAGTTTTTTCCTTGTTCAATTAATAGAATTTGATTAATTTTTTTTTTTTTAAAATATCTCCAAAACTAATTATACCAAACCAAACCAAACTGATGCAATCATATCTGATTTGATTCAATTTTGAGATATTTTGAAAACTAATCATATTTAAAATTATTGAAAATTAGCATGTTTAGTTCAATTTAAATAATACCCAAAACTGAACTAAACTGAACATATAAAAACTCTCACCTGTTGTACCCTTTGCCATATTCTTCGTTAAGTTCACATTCCTAATCTCAGGATGATGTATATTCCCATAAAAGCATTCAAAATTATTAGGTTTAAATTCTACTCAAAATATTTAAATATCAAATTTTATTAATTTATTAAAAATTTTATTTATTAAACAACTTCACCATAAGTTGTAGTGGTATATAGCTTGGCCTGTCTTCCACCAACTTTCTTTGATCAATGGGCCTGCAGGCATGTAAAATATGGACAAATCGAAAACATCTCCCTGAGAAAATATTCTGTTGTTTTTTATTTTATTTTATTATTTTATTGCAATTACAAGAAAACAGAGTAAAGTATCTCCTTTGATGTGCAATTAAGTCTTAGAAAATCATTTTTCCTGAAATGCTCTTAGTACTTTTTTAAAATGTTTCAAACCCAAAATTTTTTCTTTTTTCTGTTATTTTATTTTTTGGTAAAAAATCATGTGGTTAAAATTCTCAGAGTAACTGACTTTTTAGTTTTGGAAATGATATTGAAATTAAGTAAAATCCAGCAATATAAAATTTGAATCTTCAAAATACATAATGGTATTTAATTACTAGAGAGGATTTTAATCCCGACCCATGAGATAAATTATATTTGTGAATTGGAGTACAAAGCCTTTTTATTACATAATGCCTATCTCCCAAACAAAACTTATTTGAAACACAACGTTCAAACAAAAAAAACTGACCAAAACAACCTATTACGCTCCACAACCTTAAGAAACAAAACCATTTCAAGTAATAAAAAAATAAGAAATAAAGAAAAAATTCTCGGTAAATAGATAGACTTAGACTCTTCTAGGGCGCGAAGGCATGTAAATGCCATCACACAGACCAGCTTCGCAGAAATATTTCAGTGCCAGTGAACTAGTGTCCACATCCACCCGGGCTTGACCGGAGTTCTTGATCCCTCCAAGAGTATGAGCGTTGGTGAAGGCATGTCCCTCTCCTCCGGAGCTCGGACCGGAGTTTTTGATCCCTCCAAGAGTTTGGGCGTTTGTGAACTCATGTCCCTCGCCTCCAGAGCTTGGGCCGGAGTTCTTGATACCCCCTAGACTTTGTGCATTGGTGAGGCCATGCCCTTCTCCACCTCGGCTTGGACCGGAGGTTTTCTGAGCATTGGAGAAGCCATGTCCATCACCTCGATGGCTTGGACCGGAATTTTTGATCCCTCCTAAAGTCCGTGAGTTGGTGAAGGCATGCCCTTCACCTCCGGGGCTTGGACCGGAGTTTTTGATCCCACCTAGAGTTTGAGCGTTGATGAAGCCGTGTCCTTCACCTCCAGAGCTTGGACCGGAGCTTTTGATACCCCCAAGAGTTTGAGCTTTGGTGAATCTATGTCCATCTCCTCCAGAACTTGGACCGGAGTTTTTGATTCCTCCAAAAATCTGAGCATTGGCAAACTCATGCCCATCTCCTCTGGGGCTTGGACCAGAGTTTTTGATGCCCCCTAGGGTTTGAGCATTATTATTTGTGAATCTATGCCCATCTCCTCCCGAACTTGGACCGGAATTTTTTATTTCTCCAAAATTCTGAGCATTGGCAAACTCATGCCCACTCCTCTGGGGCTTGGACCGGAGTTTTTGATACCCCTAGAGTTAGAGCATTTGTGAATCTATGCCCATCTCCTCCCGAACTTGGACCGGAATTTTTATTCCTCCAAAAATCTGAGCATTGGCAAATTCATGTCCATCTCCTCTGGGGCTTGGACCAGAGTTTTTGATACCCCCAGAGTTTGGGCATTGGCGAATCTGTGTCCGTCTCCTCCAGAACTTGGACCAGAATCTTTTATTCCTCCAAAAATCCGAGCATTGGCAAACTCATGTCCATCTCCTCCGGGGCTTGGACCGGAGTTTTTGATACCCCCTAGGGCTTGTGCATTATTAGCGAAGGCATGTCCCTCACCTCTTGGGCTCGGACCACCGGAGCTTTTGATACCACCAAGAGCTTGACCGGGGATGAGGCCATGACCCTTTCCTCTGGGAGTCGGACCGCCGGTTTTTATGGCTCCAATGTAAAAGCCTTCAAAGATACTCTCAATAGCTTCATTTATAGAGCTGCCACGTTCTGCATCATTGAGAGGACGAGCTGTGGCGACGAAACAAGAAGAACCCAGGAGGAGAAGGCAGATGGCGAGAGCACTGAGACTTGCTGCATGGATTTGGAGAATCAGGAAGTCGAAATTTATAAGTAGGAAATTAAGCTTGCAGAACCTTGACGACGAGATAAGAGAGAAGAGAGAACAGAAAGGTCGAGTTCGTTCTGCCTTGGATGATAAGAAGTCAGCTTGGTGGTCCATATTTATAGGGCAATGGTTACGAGGCTAATTTGACTAGTAAGGAGGAAGGTGCATGTTATCATTCACGTGGGTGAGTGTTCAGGTTTGTGACGTCACCATACACCTGATTTCCACGATCTTCTCAAGGGAACTAGCGACCGACCTTCGTATCAGTCGCAGGAAACGACTTATTGGGACTGTAAAATCCCATAATAATGTTATTGGTGTAACTTTGAATTTTATACTTACGTCAATCGCTAAGTACGGCAATTGTTTTTTGCAGGAAAATTTATAAAACAATCTTAAATAAAATATTTATGAATTTTATATATAAAGAAATTTGGAGACCCATTAATCTTTGCATGTTAAATAAAACATTATAACCTAAGCATGTTTGAATAATATATTATATTATTGGAATTTATTTTTTAGTATGATAATTTGTTGGAAAGATATTTTTTAAATTTTATTTCTATTTAATCGGAGAGAAAAAAAAATACCTGCACATTTTCTCTAATTTTATTGAGTTTTAAATAGAAAATATTGTGCTAAATAAGAGGGAAAAAGATGTAAAAATGATATTAAAAAAAGAAATTTTTTTTACAAACAAGGGCTATCGATCACGATCACAGTTAAAGAAAAAATTACTTTTTGCTCCAATTTTAAGGCTAAAGTTGATTCTAGAATAAAAATAATATTAAAAAGGGAAATTTTCTTTTTTTAAAAAAAAAAAAAGAGGAAAAACTACTTTTTACTCTATTTTTAAGAGAAAAGTTGATTCTAGAATAAAAAATGATATTAAAAAAAGGAAACTTTTTTTTACAAATGAAGGACTATCGTCACAATCACATGGGTAGAGGAAAAACTACTTTTGCTCCATTTTTAAAGATAAAGTTGATTCTAGCATAAAATGATATGGAAAAAAGAAAACTTGTTGTTTTAACACATGAAGGACTATGATCACACAATCACGTAAACTACTTTTTGCTCCATTTTTAAGAGTAAAATTGATTTTAAATGTTACACCCAATGGGTCAATATTCATATCAACCGTTAGATATGTAAAATCCCACATATCCAGTAATTGATTCCACCGAAATGCAGGAGTAACTACAGACATAAAGACACTAAAATGTTAATAGAAGAGATCAGTTATTATTGTTAAGTTTCTGTGAAGTATCCTGAAGCATGCCATGGCGTGGCATCATCGCTTGCATAGAATTCCAGGCACCAGAGAGGAAAGCCACGGGTGAATTTGTGCTGTTTCACTTTCAGTGATGGCTGTGGTGTCTGAACATGTTTTCCGATGGCATTTGCTCTTCCCACTAACTATTTATAATATTGATTAATTAGTTTCATTCTTTATCTAATCTTTAATTAATTGCTTATCACGTCCACTTGACTTAACTAAACCAATCTTAATCTGCCCAAATAAAAGAGACGTCATGCAGCACTAGATAATGCACGTAATTTGATATTCCATACCGCTTCAGCACCATCGTTGGGAACAAATAAATAGTTTTTTAACCTAGATTTTTTTAATTTTTTATTTTATTATTTTATAATTTTAACATATTGAACATAAAAAAATAGAACTTTATTTTTTTTTAGAATTTTCCTTCCCATCAAGGAGTTCAAATTCCAAACACTAGAAAGAAAATGACTCGAAAATATTGATTATGAATCATTATATTTCATTATTTCTCGTTTAACTGGCTGTGTTTGGTCATTTAGTTGATAAAAGGTGTCAATTTTTTGGAATCCTGAGTCCAAACTTTGCAAATTGTTTACTTTTTTCTTTGACTAATATCAGATTGAAATGGGTATCCAGATGGTTCTGTTTATAGTCTTGGTCTTCATTGTCGAACGAATTCACTTCCGTGATGCAACTTAAAATTTTTTCTTCAACCTTGCATGAATTTCCTTCCATGACAACCATCAACCGCCTGATTTTGATTTTTCCCTCGATTCAATTACTTGAATTAGACTGTAATTTGACAGAGTTCACCCACCAGGGGTTGGACAGGTTGCTGTCCTGCTTGGACTGTTTGATCTGGAAATTTGAGTTTGACTTGGGCATCTTCCAATTAGAAAAAAAGATTATGTGTTGGAATTGGTTATGCATGCTGAAATTCAACTTTCCAATCCGGGGTACTATCCGAATAGCGAGAACTGAAAACCTTTCAAAGACCGGGTTAGGATGATCTCCCACGTACCTTGGTTTCACATGGATTGCAATTGGATTTGATTTTCCGACACGAGTTCCCTTTTTTCATATTGTTTTTTATTTATTTTATATTTTTAGGGGGCACTATTTTCAACATAAGAAAAGTCAAGGTGATACAGTCGTACAATAGTGGATGGAATTCAAATTATTTTGACTTTGCTATTTGGTTTGCAAGGGACACAAGCTATTCCCATTTCTGGGTTCGAATTGGTTATCCAGGCTAAAATCCCACTTTCCAACTAGGGTCCTAGTTGAATAGTCCGAAACTTTTGAAGTTTGAAGATTGATTTCGTATTTTTTATAAGAGTCCAAAGAGAAATACGATGTACTAGCCTTTACCTTATTCTAAGCAAACATCTAGGCTTTCAATGGTTAGAATCTTTCACTTGATCTTGAAATCGAATATGGAGATATCTGCTTCCCCTTCATGTTGGAAAAGGGAAGAACAGTTTTAGATCTTGAATGTAGATTACGAGTGAAGATTTACAAGTGGCACAGAATTAAATCAGATGAAAAGAATGGGTATGATTACGGTTATCCTAACATGGGTATGATTTTCGGGTACAGGTACGGATACGAATGTGGATATGGATAAGGGTATAGGTGTGGGAGGAGGACTGGATTTTGTTTGTATTTTGGGGGAACTGTTGTAAAAGAAACTGAAGAGCCAAGGCGATCACATTACTGCAATTGGACCAAGATGACTGCAATTTTTTGTGAGGGAACTGGACGGAGCTTTTACTACCTCAGTCAAACTCAACGAACTGGATGATTTTGAGTTATTTCGTTTATATGTGTATCACCAAAACAGAAAATGAGATGAAGCCTAACATGATTTATGGGCCGTCTTGCTGATGCCTGGTCCAATAGGCCCAACTCGTATGCCCATGGGCCGTTAGCCGACAAACTCGCGGTCCAACAGGAGCTTTTAGACAATTTTGGTGTATAACGATAAATAAGGCACTTAATTATAAATTTTTGTGATTAAAAATAAATAAATTGAGTGTGTAAATAAATTAATTTAATTTTTTAAAGGTTCTAATTTAAATTTAATAATATATTTTTATTAAATTAATATTTATATATAATATTAATAATTTAAACTTGCAGTAATTATATTAAAAAAAATTTAAAAAGTCAAAGAACATTGATTGATAAAATAAATTTAAGAAAATTAAGTATAAAAAAATATTACTTGTTTGCCAGATATAATTTTTTTATTAAATTTTAAATTATTTATTAAATCTATATATAATTTAACAAGTATAAATCATAGAGATCTTAATCAAATTTGAATCAAATTTATCTAATTTAATTTAAATTCAATCTATTGATAATTTTAAAAAAACTTTTTCAAATTGGTCTCATCTACTATTAATACACTGTTGAATTGAATAAAATGAAATAAATTTGAATTATTTATGATTTTATAGGATATTTATATATTTAAAAATTTTATTTAGTTAATATAAAAAAATTAATTGTTAATTACAATTATAAATAACCTAAATAATTTGAATAAAGAATTGAGAAGCTCCATGGTTAATTGGACCGGTTTGGTTTGCAGGACGAGGGGACGGATTACAAAGCTCAGATTAAAAAAAGAATAAAAAAGGACAATGATTAATGACAAGGCTGCAACTGTTGAACAACGAAACTTTGTTGCCGTCTGAAAGTTGTTTGAGGAGGAGTGCGGCACGAGGACGATCGACAAGACAGCAAATTAACAAAATAACAACCCAAAATCATTCTAAATCAATTTTTAATTTAAAAAGAGGAATCTAATTGGGTATTTGACCTTCTTGCCCCTCCGTCGCCGTCGCAAACATCGTCTGAATTTCTCTTCATATTGCTCAACCTACGGGAGGATTTGGTTTTTTCCACTTCATGAAAATCAAAAAATATAGCCTGGATGGATTTGTTTAATAAAAAGCACATTTTGTTGTTAAAAAATATTTATATTTTATAATAGACTATTTGTATAGGTTTAAAAAGGGGCTCATAATTTCATAAATTAACTGTAAATAAATTCTTCGGGACGTGTCCTTTTAGTTACAAAAAGCTGGTTTTAAAAAAAAATAAAAAAAACCGATGGTTTTTAATTACAATGTAGAATTAATTTTAAAAATCAAACATTTTCTTTTTTCAGCGCAAGAAAATTTATTTTCTTGGATAATTTAACACGCATTAATTTAAAAAAAAAACTGAATCTCTTGTTCTAGAAAATCAAAAAAAAAAAATACTGCGTGTCAAAAGAGTTGGAATTTTCGAAAGAAAGTAGCCCCAAAAATTCTAGATATACGTTTGTCCGGGGAAGAAATGCGGGAGATACGACAGAGAGGGTCTCTTTCGACTCCCAAGGGACGACTTCCGCTTTATACAGAACAAGACAAACACAAGTTCATAGGACCCTCCCACGCCAGAAAAAAGCCTTGGCCCTTGGGCAAGTGCCAGAAACAGTGTGGCCACCACCGCATCCAATTAC